CCAAAACCCACTCTACCAATTCCAGAAGAGATAACACATCTACCTAATACTTAGAAATAAATGCAGAGAAGCAGCCAAACTGCAGAGACAAAGAAAGATGTCACAAATGAAAGAAATGGAAGCAAGCAAACTACTGGATACAGAGTTCAAAACTATGGTTATAAGGTTACTCGAGGATCTTAATGAGAGTTTCAAGGGACTTAGTGAGACTTTCAAGGATCTTAGTGAGAATGTCAAAGATATGAAAAAGGATCAGTCAGAAATTAAGCATACACTAACTGAAATAAAGAATAATTTACAGGAATTCAACAGTAGAGCAGAGGATTTTGAGAATTTGGAATATGAGGAAGCAAAGAATACCCAATCAGAAGGACAAAAAGAAAAAAGAATTAAAAAATATGAAGATAGTGTAAGAAGCCTCTTGGGACAACTTCAAGCATACTAACATTCACATTATGGGGGTGCTAGAAGGAGAAGAGAGAGAGCAAGATATTGAAAACCTATTCGAAGAAATGACAGAAAACTCCCTTACCTAGTGAAAGAAATAGACTTACAAGTCCAAGAATTGGACAGAGTCCCAAATAAAAGGAACCCAAAGAGGCCCACACCAAGACTCATCATAATTAGATGCCAAGGGTTGAACACAAAGAGAGAATCTTAAAAGCATCAAGAGAAAAGCAGTTAGTTACCTACAAGGGAGCACCCATACAACTGTCAGCTCCCCCAGCAGGTATTGAATACTCTTTGTGAACAATAAGTTACAAAGAAATTCCATTAAATTGATTCTAGATGATTTGGTGTCTTTTTCCCTAAGTTTCCATTTACATAAAATTCATTAAAACTCAAGTAACCTTTCTTCTGGAATTTCCATATTAATACTTTTAAATCAAGTTCCTAGTCTTCCGCTCACTTGAGGTCTCTCTCTCTCTCTCTCTCTCTCTCTCTCTCTCTCTCTCATATTCTCCAACGTTTTATTTTCTTTATAGGTTTTTCTACAATACTTTCTCTTTACCTTTTTTTAGAAGTATTTTTTATCGCTTCCATTCCTGACTGTTTAATCTCAGAAGCATGAGTAGACCACACACACACACACACACACACACACACTCTCACACACGCACACTCACACACACACTCACTAGGAGAGTTTCTCTTGTCAACTCTGTGTCTGAGTGTCTTTTTACTGGGCTGTCTCTGTGTTTTACCTACATTTCCATTATTCCACAATACTAGTATGCCACATTTCATGAGAGAAAACCATTCCTTTTTCCACTTATTTTGATCCACATGTCACATTAACATGGAGAAAAAGGAGGATTTCAGACAAGATGCTTTGTTTAAGATTCTGGCCTTACATAAATACATTTTATGTTTTCTGAATAGAAGCCAGTGTATTCTAGCTGCAGAGCATCCTTTGACGCCATCTAGTGGACACAGTCACAGGCTGAGAAAAACAGATTTGACAATGAGCATCACTACATACCTGGAACTGTTCTGAACTAATTGTTTCCTGCTGGAACAATGCTATAGTATATATCATTTTATAACAGATCTATCCAACTTCTAGTAAATATCTCAGAAACTAAAGGGTCTTTTAAAAATCTTTATTGTTTATAGTATCACAGATGTCTCCCTTTTTCCCACCATTGCCCCCTTCCACCCAGTTACCATCTGGCCCCAAACCTTCAAACACCCTATTGTCTGTGTCCATAGGTAATGCATATATGCATATAAGCACTTTAGTTAATCTCATCCCACCTTCCCTCCACAGCCCTCCCTCCTTCCCGCTAAGATTCCTCAGTCTCTTCCATGTTTCCAGGCCACTGGTTCTATTTTATTCATCAGTGTATTTTGTTCATTAAATTCCTTGTTCGTTTATTTTTATTTTTAGATTCAATTGTTGATATATATGCATTTGTTACTATTTTACTGTTCATATTTTTTATCTCTTCTTCTTCTTCTTCCTCCTCCTCCTCTTCTTAAAGAATACTCTTCAACATTTCATGTAATACTGGTTTGGTGGTGATGAACTCCTTTAGTTTTTTCTTGTCTTTGAAACTCTTTATCTGACCCTCAATTCTAAATGGTAGCTTTTCTAGGTAGAGCAATCTTAGTTGTAGATCCTTGCTATTTATCACTTTAAATATTTCTTGCCACTCCTTTCTGGCCTGCATAGTTTCTGTTGAGAAATCAGCTGATTGTCATATGGTTGCTCCCTGGTAGGTAACTAAGTGCTTTTCTCTTGATGCTTTTAAGATATTCAAAATCATTAATTTGATTCTCAGAATGCTCTACTCTACTGTTGAATCCCTGTAAATTATTCCTTATTTTAGTTAGTGTATGCTTAATTTCTGATTGGTCCTTTTTCATGTCTTTGATGTTCTCACTAAGGCTCTTGAAAGTCTCACTAAGTCCATTGAAGCTCTCATTAAGATCCTTGAGCAACCTATAATCATTGTTTTGAACTGTGTATCTAGTAGTTTGTTTGCTTCCATTTCATTTAGTTCTTTTTCTGGAGATTTCTTCTGTTCTTTTATTTGTGACATGTTTCTTTGTCTCTGCATTTTGGCTGCTTCCCTGAGTTTGTTTTTATATGTCTCCTGGAATTGGTAGACTGACCTTGCATAGTAGGTGTCCTGTAGGACCCAGTGGCTCAGCCTCCCTAGTCACCTGAGCTCAGCACTCTAGGTGTGTCCCTGTGTAACCTGTGTGAACAGTCTTATTGTAGTTGAGCCATGATTACTACTGGCATCACTAGAAGGAATTGGCCTCCAGGCCAATTTGCTGTGAGGACCAGATGTGACTACAGCGGAAGAGCTGCTGTGCAAGAGATACCCTTATTGAGAAGGACTTGCTTCAGTGGGGTTTTGTTGCTCACTGAGTCTGCCCCTTGAGATTATTGCTCGTGGATGTGTAGAGTTTTAATCTGGTATGGTCTGAAGCTGTCCACCAGGTTCACTGGCTCTGGGGCCTCCCAGGAGATGCAAAGACAGCCACTGCCTGGCTTCACCCAACAGGAGCTACAGAGGGATCTGTAGGTGGCTGCTACTTGTGTTGGGCTTAGAAGTGCCCAGGAAAGGCCAAGCTGTGAAGCAAGGCAGGCTGCTGATAATGACAGGTCTTGGGCCTCTTATTGTTAGGTATAGGGTATGATGAAACCGGCTGCTTGTTTGAGAGATTTTAGCAAAGTCTGAAGCCTGAGCCAGGACAGGCCATTCATATGGAAAAGCTACTGCAAATTGGGTGGGCCTGCAAATTGGGTGGGGCAAGGTCTCAGGGAACCACCAGGGTGGAGCAAACAGTGTGGGCCATGCTGATGGAAACTCAGGTATAGCGGCCAGTCAGCTCTCTGATGGGGGAGGTGTCAACATAGGAACAATGACCCTGCAAGCACCCTTATCTTGGAGAAAGCCACCCCCAAGTTCTTTCTCTAAGGCCATATAATCCAGTTCCTCCCTGTCTGTCCCTGGATCCCCTCCTTACCCCCTGACCAAGCTGCTGCCCCAGCAATGGAGTTCAGAGGGAACAAGTCTGAGTAAGTTTGTGCACTGGCACTGTAAAAGGAACTGCCTGAAACTCCAGCAGCCTCCATGTCACTCAGCCATATCCCCGCTGGTTTTTAAAGCCTGAAGTTATGGGGCCCTCTCTTCCCAGCTCTGGAACCCTGGGCTGGGGGGCTGGTGTGGGTCTGTAACTTCTTGCTCTTCACAGGATACCTACACAGCTATCTTTTCCAATTAAAAACAAGGCCACGCGTGGGTGTTGGACTAGCAAGTTCCAGGCTTCCACCCCTCCTACCAGTCTCCATGTGCTTTCTTCTTTACTTCTTTAGTTGTAGGACTTCCATTCAGCCAGTTTTCAGGCAGTTCTGAATGATGGTCGTTCTATATTTTAGTTGTAATTTTGATGTGATTGTGGAAGGCAGCGAGTACCAGTATGTACCTACACAATCATCTTGGTTCTCCTCCACTAAGGGGTCTTTCCTATTACTCCTTGTCATGCCTTTGCAGTTTCATAAAGTGGCTTTGTTTTATTTAGTTAAACAAATCTTGAGAATTAAGGGGCCTTGTGACAACCAGCAAAAAACTTAGAAAGCAGAAGCCACATTTTCTTTATCATTGTAATTAGTATACAGCATAGTGACCAGAGCTCTGGAATTAGTGTGCTTTGGTTTGTTTTGTTTTGTGGCTTTTTAAATGAAATTATAAGCAGTTAATATCTGGGATGGGGGAGTGTGACACACACATGTCTTTATTTTGAGGAGAGAGCTATTTCTAGACTGCCCAGTCTGGGTAGGTAGTGATTAATAAACTCCTAACTAGGACCGGCCAGGTGGCTCAGTTGGTTGAGCATCATCCCATACACCAAAAATGTCCCGAGGTCATTACCAATCAGGCCACATACCTATGTTGTGCTGGGTTCCATTCCTCATTGGGGCATGTATGGGAGGCACCAATTGACGTTTCTCTCTCACATTGATCTCTCTCTCTCTCTCCCATCAATAAAAAAAATAGTAAATAAGTAAAGTTCTAACTAAGAACCCTTTCCCATCTCCAAAGTATTTAATCTCTTAAGAATAAGAGGGTGAGCCCTGGCCAGTGTCGCTAAATGATTACAGTGTTGGCCTAGGCACCAAAGAGTCATAGTTTTTATTCCTGGTCAAGGGCAGGTACCTCATTTGCAGGTTCCTTCCATGGCCCACGTCTGAGCATGTGCAGAAGACAACCAATTGATTTGTCTTACATTGATGTTTCTCTCCCCCAGCTTCACTCTCTCTAACAATCCATGGAAAAGAATATATCCTCAGGGAGGATTAACATACACACAAAAGAGGTCCCAGCGTGCCCTGCGCCTCAGCCCGCCCGCTCCCTTGCTTGCTAGCGCTTTTGCTCGGCTCTCCTCGCAAATCTAAGGGGCTCTGGCCACAGCTTGTGGCTCAGGAGGGACACCCAGGCGGCCGCTCAACGGAACATTGCTGCAGTGGTGGTGGCGGCGGGAAGATGTCAGGCGAGGACCAGCTAACTATCGGCAAGGACATGGTCGTGACCAAGTATAAGATGGGGGGCAACATCGCCAACCGGGTACTTCTGTCTTTGGTGGAAGCATCCTGCTCAGGTGTGTCGGTGCTGAGCCTGTGTGAGAAAGGTGATGCCATGATTATGGAAGAGACGGGGAAAATTTTCAAGAAAGAAAAAGAAATGAAGAAAGGTATTGCCTTTCCCACCAGTATTTCAGTAAATAACTGTGTGTGTCACTTCTCCCATTTGAAAAGCGACAAGGACTATATTCTCAAGGAAGGTGACTTGGTAAAAATTGACCTTGGGGTCCATGTGGATGGCTTCATCGCTAATGAGGCTCACACTTTTGTGGCTGGTGTAGCTCAGGGGACCCAGGTGACAGGGAGGAAAGCAGGTGTCATTAAGGCAGCTCACCTTTGTGCAGAAGCTTCCCTACGCCTGGTCAAACCTGGAAACCAGAACAAACAAGTGACCGAAGCCTGGCACAAAGTTGCCCATGCATTTAATTGCCCGCCAATCGAAGGTATGCTGTCACACCAATTGAAGCAGCATGTCATCGATGGAGAGAAAACCATTATCCAGAATACCACAGACCAGCAGAAGCAGGACCATGAGAAAGCTGAATTGGAAGTACATGAAGTATATGCTGTGGATGTTCTCGTCAGCTCAGGAGAGGGCAAGGCCAAGGATGCAAGACAGCCACCATTTATAAATGAGATCCTTCTAAACAAAATGAAAACTTCACGCGCCTTCTTCAGTGAGGTTGGAAGGCGTTTTGATGCCATGCCGTTTACTTTAGAGCATTTGAAGATGAGAAGAAGGCCCGGATGGGGATGGTGGAATGCGCCAAACATGAACTGCTGCAGCCATTTGATGTTCTCCATGAGAAGGAGGGTGAATGCGTTGCCCAGTTTAAATTTACAGTTCTGCTGATGCCCAGTGGCCCCATGCGGGTAACCGGTGGTCCCTTTGAGCCTGACCTTTACAAATCTGACAAGGAGGTCCAGGATGCAGAGCTAAAGGCCCTCCTCCAGAGTTCAGCAAGTCGGAAAACCCAGAAAAAGAAAAAAAAATTAAAGGCCTCCAAGACTGCAGAGAATGCCACCAGTGGGGAAACATTAGAACAGAATGAAGCTGGGGACTGAGGTGGGTCCTATCTCTCCAGCCAGCTGCTCCTGCCTCATCCTCTTCCCACCACACCCCAAGCTCTGTGAAGTGCAGTTCGTCTTCTCCACCCAGGACCGCCAGCAGAAATTTGGAAAAAAGCAAGTGGAAAGATTTCTCTCTCCTAAATATCTTATCACTATTCCTCATGCAGTGCCAGAGATTCAAGCAACAGAAAATATTCATCATGCTCTTAAAAACTATATGGTTGCAGAGAGAT